ATCTAGATGGGAAAGCTAAAATCCGTTTAAACACCCCTCTAGGTACGCATAGGGCACAAAAGCACAACGGCGATGATTTTGAAGTGAATGTGCGGATCCTAGCGCAGGAATCAAAAACATCAACGCGCAAAACTCTTGAGGCGTTTTGGATAAATTTCAAAAATCCAAAGATGAACCGGAAGGACGAATGCCTCACTATCACACGTGACCTGGCGCCCTATTTCAAAATGATATTTTGACCCCGGGGCGTGTCTTGCTCGCGACTCCACGTGAACTACGTGTGGGCCAGTCCCGCACGTAACATCACGGTGAGTGGCCTTTCTGTTCAATATGGCGTCTATTTGAAAGTTTGATCTTCATTAATACTTTAACCTTCTTTTCCACCGAATAATAAAAAGTATTCTAACATAAAGTACGTCCAGGCTCTGAGGAAGGCGAAGTCGCCGAAACGTCAGCCATCGATCAATAACATCAAAAACAACGACAACGACAACGAAGATCTGTACCAACCTCGCGTCAGCTTAAGAAGATCAGTTTATAAGATCTCATAAATAAATGTATTCAAGTTATTAATCCTACTAGGGACATAAAGCTTATGAAGATAATCATTTCTGCATGTTCATTCTCATATCGATTTTAAGATTTAGCTCTACGAGTAAACTCTAAGGCATATCACAACAACTGTACTCCTAATATTTTTTTCTTCACAAACTGATCTTGACGAGCGAAGAAGAGCTTATCAACATCTAACCCTTGCGCTCAAATTTGCCTGCAGCCTCGCAGAACAACGCGTGGTTTCATGACAGACTTTCTGATTTTTAGAAAATAGACGATAGTTTCTAGATAAATAGAGGACTTGAAGGCTGAGTAAAATGACAGCATAAAACGGGAGACTTTGCTGTACTACTCTAACAGTCATGCATGGTATATCCGCTACTAACTATTAGTATGGTGCACCGTACAACCACATTGCTGCCACTTCAGTCTATTTTCTCTTTTTTGTGTCAGTCTATTCCGTATAATAACCATGAATAATCGCAGCGATTCGCTGAATAAACTCATGCGACAAAATGTTTTTTGTTGTTAAGGGTAGAGAACAACCTACCACAGGTCACCCCGATATACCATCCCTATAATGTGTAGGACAAATTATCAAATAAATACAAAAGAAGTGGAAAAGAGCTTTGTGTAGTAAAATAAATCACAGAAATACATTGGATGCAATGCACTTCGCCCGATTTGTCACTTCTCTCTTTGCCTCCCACACATGTAACACATATTTTTGGTTTTCGATGAATAAGGTTTTGGTAGCCTAGCCCTCTTCGGAGCTTGGGGGTATTGTAACAATCTTCTTTGGTGACTATTCTACAAATATAGAAGACGATGTCACGAGAACGTTAGCCATAGAAAACCAAAGATATTTGTTGAGAAACCCATCTTAGCTCATCAAATACATTTAACTGGAATAAAATAATTTGTTTCTGTTCCGACATTAATTTAAAGTCGACGTCTCAAATCATTCCAAACTTTACGGTTCAAAAGTGCTATGCAAGAATTTGTACAGCGAGGAACACTAAATTTAGGGAAACAGTGGTCTTAACAGCTACTAAGACCTTGTAGAAGTGGGCCTATTGATAGGAACGGTGAAAAAGTGAGGAGTTCAGAAACTATTTCAAAGATTTCGGCTATGATTTCGAACCTATCTGTTTACCACACTTCTCATCCCAAAAAAAGTCAGCCATAGTAACAAAGTTCCTCAAAATATTAATAGGTTTTTAATATAACACGTTAGGGACAATGCAATCAATTAGTGACCCAGATGTTTTTCTCTCTGCTGTTTGTCCAAGTACAATACAGCGGCGAGGATAACACGACCCATTAGTGGTAAGCCAAACACCCTTCTTTTTGCTTCATTTGTCCAAGTCTGGCAGTAATTAATTAATATTTTATAATTTAAAACAATAATTTCGCATAATTTTCAAAATTAGAACATTAGGCGCGCACACCAGGTGCGATTCCACTTTTTTCTTGCGTATTTGATTTCTTGTACCTCTCAGTTCATCCATAACTTCCATTTCAGTAGTGCTGCGAACCTGAGCGACTAAATTTCCTTCCACTTCTTACTTATTAACTAGTCAAAAAGCTAGTAACAAAACAAACTATTATACCAACTTCCTCAATGTGATTTCTGCGAAATGCAGACAGCGCTTCGCAAAATCTGAGTGGTTATACCACCATGAAAAGGAGTTATTCCAGAATAGTGAGCAAATGTGCAAGCAAAAAGAAAAAGTGTTTTCTAGGAAAGGGAAGGGCTTATCTAATTAAAAGAGTAGATTCATAATTTCAAATTAAATCCTAACAACCTCCTTTCAGTCTCGGCACAGGTAAACCACCGTTTTCTTGATGAGCAAAACACGCGGTTGTTTTTACAGTATGTATTCATTCACAAATTCACATTTTTGGCCGTTTTGACTTTTCTAAACAGCTAAGATTTCGGCGGATTCGCCTATTTCACACCCTGGAAAAGTTGAAATGATCAGCAATCTGCTCAACGAGCACTTTAATAACCTCAACGGGTTAACAGGAACAAAACCGTGTTTAAGAGACGTTATTTACTAAGCGAATAAAAATTTAGCACTAGACTTTATCTGCTGAGGTTACCGAAGTGTTTGACTGAGTAAATTTCTGGCCGTTTTGACTTTTCTAAACAGCGAACAAGGCGAAATCGCAGAAACCTCAGTTACTGTGAATGAACAAATATTGTAATAAGAACTCGTGTTTGCCCATCACAAAAATAGTCAATTTCACACCATTTTTTGAAGTGGATAGCGCAGTAGTAGGTTTTCCGATAATCACGAGCATGTCTCCCCCACTCTCCGAACACTCTCCAAACCCAGCAAACCTCTCATCCTCTCTGATTGGAAAATTGGTGCCAGATATCTCTGAAAGAACTGCACTCTTCAATCCAAGTGGGAACGGTCTAACCAGGCTATCCCAGGACTCCAGGGGAAATGGACTACCCCAGCATTTAACAACATTAAGAAAGAAAACGATAACGGTGCTCAAGCAGCAGTCGAACCCATACACAAAAGGTTCGAAGACGTTTGTGGATGTGTGATGCGAAGAAATGAATGCATGAAGTGCTGGGATGTGCACAGTAAACGTGGAAATAGGTAGTGTAAAGGAAATAAAAATAAGCTCTCTTGTTTTCGATTGAAAATTTTGGTAATAAGAATTTGTGTATATATGTACGTATATATATATATATATGCATATATACATATATATATGGTATATGTGTGTGTGCTTACCTTTCACAGCCGTGGGGGTGTGCTTGTCTCGTTTAGCATAAATGTTCGGTAGTTATTTCCACGAAATGCATCATCAGAAACAAAAAACCGCCGTTTCCTTATCTAAATACCACGGTATAAAAATGAACAAGGACAAATTTTCTCATTAAAAATGTCAACAAGGAAAAAACGTCTTGTTGATCCTCTGATAACCTTGACATTACGTATAAATTTTTAATTACTGCCCAAAATTTTTTCAAGGTAGGGTACTATTTGAACTACAACCACATTTGCAAAACTCAGACCTTAGGCCTAATCCGAACCTACGACTGTCCTTTTCGGGGCTCAAGTGTTACCCATTGGAGAGGGGACCTTTGTTTTGTCTTCCTCTCAGCCAATTTATTACTCTCACGGTTCCATCAACCATCACCCGCCAACAGAAATGATCTGGAAAACCCAAATCGGGATTGAATCCATTTAAGCTGAGGATGCAGTCAAAATCACAATGCATAATTTTCTATTTACTACTAGCCCAATTGGGTTCAATACCGATTTGTGCTCCCCAGATCACTGTGGTTGACGAGTAATTACTGATCGGGCCGTTAGATAGAAAAACGGCTCAGCGAAAGGGAAAACAAGAGCCTTAATTGTGCAGTGGGCAATATGTGAGCTCCGAAAAAGTAGTTGCGCGTCCAAATCGGGCCCGGAGTCCGATTTTTACAAATACCTCAATTTTTTCATTGTTCGACAGCCCTTTACTAAATTGCAATCTTAACAAATGATTCTTTTTCAAAGTAATTTTGACGATTCACAGCATTTACGGGGTTTGCAACGTCTTCATAGCATCTCCTGCTCCTGTGTACATTCTAAAAAATGTCCTAGATTCTAAGGCATACAAAGAGGTTGTAAGAACTAATGAACATAGTTGCCGAAGAAATCGGAGTGTAAATTGCGGACGACCGTCGTGGATACAAACACATCACTTCAAGCTACCAAATTGCGATATTGACCCTACATTTCGTTTACTTTCGGACGAAATTCTCCGCATACTTAATCACTACCAAAAACGAAAAAGAAACTCCAACCTCACAAACCAACAAAAATGTGGTATGCGCCAGGTTAGAGAGCTTTTGAATTCAAAATATATTAGACCTTCTATTAGTGATAAAGGCGGAGAATTTGTAGTTCTTCCTAGTCAGTTGGATATTAGGATAACAGAGGAGCACCTCAGTGATGTTTCTCTCTATCGAACATGAAAAGGAATACAGAAATCAATACCGAAAATTGAATCAAGAATGGTTCAGCACGGCAAAGGCCGCGGGTTTAGAGCCTTCAGTTATTTCTCGACTTAAGAACGAACACCCGATTTGCCATGTCCTTTACATGCTTATTAAAACACATAAGCTTACTTCAACTGATGATATTACGTCAACGAACCCATCATCATATAAAGTTAGACCTATCATCAGTTGTATAGGCGGGCCAACGGATAGAATAGTGTGGTTCCTAAACCTTATCCTGACCCAGCTGCTAAAATTCATCCCAACCCATCTACCTAACACCAAAATATTTCTAGATCACCTAAGGCGCGCGCAACCAAACAGCACGCATATAATGGAGTCATTCGATGTTAGTTCACTTTATACCAACGTGTCCAATGACTCCGCAATGCAAACCATTCTCGAGTTGCTCGCAGAGCATGAAAAGAAAATAAAAATGCACGGCTTGTCGATTGCGCAACTAATGATCCTCTCAAAACAGTGTCTTAGTTGTTCAATCTTTAAGTGGTCTGGAAAATATTTTGTACAAATTAGAGGGTTGGCGATAGGGCAGTGTTTACCACCAAGCCTTGCCATCGCTTTCATGTCTAAGGTGGAAGCTCCAGTTCGCGATCACCGACCCTTACTCTACTGTCGATACATAGAGGACTGCTTCATCGTCTGTTCCACACAAGAACAGATGGATGACTGCTTTGAATTATTAAACCGACAGTCAGAGTGTATAAAATGTACACGAGAAAAACCTACCGAGAACTGGCTTCCATTCTTAAACATCCAAATAAAGCTCTCAGTAAGTGGCTCTATAACAAAATGGTATCGCAAGTCAAGTAGTAAAAACATTCTAGTTCACTGCCTCTCTCAACAACCTTCACGCATGAAAAAAGCACTTATCAAAAACATGTATCGTACGGCTAAAAGTGTGTGTACAGGAGAACAGGAAAGGAAGGAATCGCAAAACCTAGCACGAACAATTGCCATTTCCAATGGCTACGAAGTAGAAGCCACTCGGTTTAGAGGAAAACGTTGGGTATTTCCCAAAATAATATTTCAGACGAAAGTAGGATCCCCTTTAAGCTACCCTTCATATCAAATGAAGTAAGTCACGCCATTAAAAAGTGGTTAAGAAAAAGTGGTCTTGAAAATAATGTAACGATTACTGACATCCCACCCAATACCCTACGCCGTCAGTTAGTTCGAAACCGTCTCTACGATTGTTTGTGCAGCTCAGAAAACTGTATGATCTGTCCTAACGGGGAAGACGGGGATTGCATGAGTTTAGGTATAATATACTTGATCTCACGTAATGCATGCGGCGAGGAATATATCGGGGGAACGGGTAGACCACTTTGTGTCCGCATAAAAGAACATCTACATGGAAAAGCTAAAATCCGTTTAAACACCTCTCTAGGTACGCATAGGGCACAAAAGCACAACGGCGATGATTTTGAACTGAATGTGCGGATCCTAGCGCGGGAATCGAAAACATCAACGCGCAAAACTCTTGAGGAGTTTTGGATAAATTTCAAAAATCCAAAGATGAACCGGAAGGACGAATGCCTCACTATCACGCGTGACTCGGCGCCCTATTCCAAAATGATATTTTGACCCCGGGGTGTCTTGCTCGCGACTCCACGTGAACTACATGTGGGCCAGTCCCGCACGTAACATCACGGTGAGTGGCCTTTCTGTTCAATATGGCGTCTATTTGAAAGTTTGATCTTCATTAATACTTTAACCTTCTTTTCCACCGAATAATAAAAAGTATTCTAACATAAAGTACGTCCAGGCTCTGAGGAAGGCGAAACGTCACCCATCGATCAATAACATCAAAAACAACGACAACGACAACGAAGATCTGCACCAACCTCGCGTCAGCTTAAGAAGATCTGTTTATAAGATCACATAAATAAATACATCACTTCAACGCTTGTTCTGAGATGTCGATTTCAAGAATCGACGTAGTCTTGCAGAATCTTCTTCTAGTTCACTCGTGATTGTTCACTAAATCAGCTCTCGTTGACCAACTAGTGGCCCCGTATTCCACAGCGAATCTAGGCGACTGATGTCGTAATTTTATTGCAAAACTACGTGACTGTATTACTAATACGGTTTTTCATTGATTCTTTACGATCTCCACGTAGAAAAAGTTCCAATAAGGAAACATCATAGAAAAACTGTTTACAGTTGTATTTCAGTGGACAATGAAACGGCTCGACTAGGATGGGGAATGGCGTTGCGGCGTTCAATGAACGTAGATAGTAATATGTGTAAATTGTATTATGTAAAAAAAGTGTGCAAGCATTGACCCGCGATCACCATGGTCTCCGACTGTCACCACGAATAGTCGACCTGAACTGCAAGTACGCCGTTCACTGCCGTAGGCGACATTCTTGAATGACTCTGTCACCAACTGTCCTCATCACGAGTGACCAGGCGGTCCATCTCTCGCTGAGTTATGAAAACAAGATATTCCGTGAGGATTTGAGTTAAATCTGGTTCCATTCCTTTTGTGCTGGATGTCCTTCAGATGTAGGGTTGGAGTACTTTGTTAGTTCAACAAGAAATAATGTCTTTGAGTTTTCCTTACGACACCATTTTATGAAGTAGGTCTTTTCTTGACTTAATATTTTCAGTTACACCTGATCTAGTGATATCAATAACAGCAAAAATTTATGACTGACAGTTGTTGGTAGAAATCGTCTTTTTATGCAGAGGTTCAGTACGACGAACAGGAATGACAAGCGACAAGATGTCTATGTGATGTACAACTGATGCACGTAAAAGATAAAAAAGAAACATAGAGATAGTGTGGCGCAAACGGACAGCATACTTAACAAGTGCTATTTAATTTACCTGCATATTTCCTATTAAAAGTTGCACCAGTAGGTCGCTCAAGTACGTCTGCTCGTATGAAAAATAACATGCTGAGGCACAACTACGATCAAATGGGATCTGAAACATATGCTATGACCTGTAGAACAAAAAACCACTGATTATATTAAAACCAGCAACATAAAGAGCCAATAAAACCGGAGAAAAGTGTCCAGAAGCGCAGTACGTCGAAATGAAAAGCAATTGTGATGTTCACTCTTGTTGGATCTAATGAACGAGATAAACAGTGCAAAAAATTATTTAGCGATTTAAAAAGGCATTATTAAAAGGGCGCGTGTGATTCAGTGGTCGGAGGCGCCTTGCAATACACATGAGATCGATTCGCGCGCCCAAGGCTGACCAAGCCCTCTATCCCTCCGGAGTTTGCAATTTGGTACAAAACTTGTTAGGAAGGATAACAGCACCGACTCAATGCATCGGTTGGCCACCGCGAGTCATTGAAAAGGTCAGATATGCATTCGATCACCTCCAAACGATGCTTAATGACCTCGTATGAATGGCGCATCCTCCAGGGATCGATCAACGCCGAGAATCCTCTACCCTTTACGAAGTACGTCTATCGAAAGATATTCGTCATTTACCAAGACAGGAAAATAAAGAAAAACTATACGGCTCTTCATGAGACGCAATGTTATGCAAATGTAAAGTAAATTCCAGCAAAAAAAGTGCAAAACTACCCGTGATTTTGAGGACCTATTAAAATGGCAGCAAAGAAGGACTGAAAAGGATGCTAAAACTTGGAAAAAGGAGAACCTGCCGCTTCCGGACCACATTTTTGGAACAAATGGCTATATATGTTTCTCCAGTTACTCTGTCCTGATAGATCCTCATTAGTCGTAACTGGTGTAACCGAAGTAGAACGGCAACCACTATCAAGAGTGCGGTTCCAGGTATGATGGCATAGATCCCTATCTAAATCGCTTGTGAAGGTAGTCCTAATAACATTCATACAAAGCTGTCATGTCGAGTATTAAAATAAACGAACTAAGTCATAATAATATTTAGAAAAACAACATAAGACTTGTACTTAAGATTTCCTAAAATGGTAAATGAAGCTATTACTGAAACAAATCTAGTACCAAACCAATTTCAAACATTAAGGAATCATAAGAGAAACTTCGTTGAGCAAACGATTAAACAAAAACCTCTTCTATGTCGCTGGAAAGCCTTCGCACCATTCGAAATCTATCCATGAGTTCATTATTGTAGAAATCGTAAGCGATGACAGCTGATCCAATGAGAAAGATAGGAAATATGACTGCCACAAGTTGAAAGGACCTCGTGGCTCCTAAAACTTACAACGAAGGGACTGATTACTTTTACTGTCAAACTGATCTTTTCAATCAGACTATCAGACTAACTAACAACGAATTGGCAACAAAACACCCGTAAGTTGTATGGTTTATTACCGTTCTATGCGCTTGCGCCGCGCGGTGCTCGGAGGCGCCCTGCAATAAACACGGGATTGATCATCACGCTCCAGGCTCACCAAACTTTCGATCCCTCCGGGGTCGGCAAATTGGTACCAGACTTGTCTGAGAGGATAGCAGCACTGGCTCGATACATCGGTAGACAACCGCAAGTCATTTTGAAGGTCAGATATTCATTCAACCACCTCTAACGATGCTTAATGAAGTCGAATGCACGGCATAGCCCTCAAGAATTGATCAACGCCCAAAGCTTTATCCTTTATCTTTTATGCGTTTGTGTAAGCGTTTAGAATGTAATCGAAAACTATGCATTACAATTTAACGTTGTAATTAGGGAAAAAATATGTACTGTCAATACAAACAATATCCTCTAAAGAAACTTGTAAAACTGGCGGAAGGAACAAAGCACACTACTGAAGGACTTAACAGTTGCTGAAGGGTCATTCGTGTGAACCAAAACTCTTCGCAGTAACAAACCAGTACAGTGTGGGACAATATTATTTATTTTCCTATTTATTTAATATCTCAGTCGTACAGTTGTGGACGTGTTGACATACACAATACATACTTATCTATATGGAAATAGAATAACAAATGATCACTTCAAAAAGCCAAATTCTTTAACTCTACTCTTTTGAAATTCCTTTCGAAGACATATTTCTTAAGAATTCTTGGTTCTCTAAAGAGAAAAAAGAACGAGAACCGTAAATAACGATTGAAGAGATTAACAGTCAAAAGAAAATCACAGAAGGTAAGAAAGAGTTAGCATTTTTGGGAAAAAGCCAAGAAAGGAAGTGATATACTACCAATGGAAGCAAAAAATGCCACTTCCTGCAATAACCACCCAGTAAGGACTTCGCACCGCTTCCTCAAAATTTCATGGAAAAAACTTATATAGGTCCAAAAGCATCCCAACTCCGTTAAGTGGAAGTGTTGCACATAACAACGCTGAATCTACACCTAATACAAACACTAACAGAATACGACAGACACTGAGTTTTTGCTCTATACGCACAATGTCAGACGGGATCCACACAATATGCGATTTCGGGCCATGTAAAATAAAAAGGTGAAAAAAAAATGCCGGTCATAATGATGCTGAGAGATTTGCAAAACTCCAGACCGCAGGTGTCTGCGGTGGGGAACGAACGCTCTATTACTCTTTCCGGGGGCTAACGAGTTCACCACCACACCATGCGGGTCCTTCGTTCCGCCTGAATTTAACGAAGTTCCATTGACTTGTGATCGCTGATGACTGGTAGATAGAAAACTAGTTGAGAGACAGGAGAAACGAAGGACCCGCATGTGGCGGAGGTCAACGCTTTAGTCCCCGGAAAGGGGTGATAGCGTGCTTGATGGCTACCACAGACACCCGCGGTGCGGAGTTTTGCAAATATTTCAGCGTCACTGTGGTTGTTTCACACATAAAACCCTGCCGTGAGAAACTGCAGTAGGCAGCAAATAAAAGGTTAACAATGCCGGTCATACTTTGTGTTAAACTGTGAAGTATCGCAAACGACAAAAGAAACGATTGGTGAGTCATCTGAAGATGCAGGAATAAGTGGCGCTCAAGTTGTGCGATGGAAGAAGGGATGGGGTCGTTATACGTATTCATTGCCTACTCTCGAAGAAATCTTAAAAATAAGATGTGGATGAAAATGCTGAAAAAAAATTCATGAAGTTAAACGCGGAATTGAACCACTCGACAAAAAAAGTCATGAAAAGTCCTTTCATACCTTGATCGCTATAAATTAGCAACCACTTGTCCATATTAATTCCATCCAGTCTGTGTGCTTTAGAGATCGATTCCTCATCGAAAGAATTCGTCTTGTTCTGGAACAATAAATGATGTGGGAAAAACTTACGTGTTTAGCTATGAAACCTTAAATCCTTGGGAGGCGGTAACTGAGAGCTAAGTTTTCACCTACAAAGTAAAAACGTAGCACATCAATACGGTTTCTTTTTTGAAGAAAAGGGTGAGGTTCGTTGGAACATTTCGAATGGTCGATTATTTTTAACTCCAAAAAACTGGTACATGTCTTACATCACCTATTATCTTTTAATAAAAGACAGAATATTCTCACGGATTCATTCACCTAGTTTCCTGCTAACTTGTTTTGAAACATGAATGTCTGGGGAGAAAGGAAATGAAAGCGTATGAGTCCACGGCAGTGTTCGGACTCCTTTACTGAGCAGATTTTAAAGGATAAAGGATAAAGCTCCCGGCACTGATCAGTCCCTGAGGGATGCGCCATGCATTCGCCTTCGTTAAGCATCGTTGGAGGCGACTCAATGCATTTCTGGGCTTTATAAAGAATCATGGTGGCCCACTAACGTATTGAACCATTTTTGTTATCCTCCCAGACAAGTTTGGTACCAATTCGCCGATCCCGGAGGGATGGAAGGCTTGGTGAGCCACGGGCACGGGAATCGATCCCATACGTGTGTCGCGAGGCGCCTCTGACCACTGTGCCACACGAGCCTTACAAAATAGTGAAGGAAATGGGTTTAAATATGGGATGGAGAACCTTAGATGATCCAGAAGTGATAAATTGTAGATAAGACCAAATAACTGACGCTGTATGAACAGCGTTAAGAAAGATATGAGTCTTACATCGGTTATGAAGTTTTTCACAACCTCCCACTTCTTCCTCCACATTATTGAAGATTGTCTCGATGAACTAATAGACCGTCGAAGATTCAGCCATGTAGAATTTTGAAGATAACGTGCAGTTAACATGTAACAGGTCTCTGGAACAAATGAAGCACATGGATGGAAAGCAGAAAAGGGTACAAATGTGTTAGTGAAGAACAGAACTGACACGAAATCACACAAGAAAGTGGAAATGATACATCTTTTCAACAGTTCTAAACATAAAAGCTAATTAAATAAAGTGAAATTTGGCGCACATACGGTAACCTCACCACGAGTGGCATCCAACTTAACTCATACCTTCCTGGATTATTAAGCTAATACAGGGTTAATGAAAATGATGGTGTCGAATCAAGTTGACGAAGGGTCTTTATCGACTCTGAGGAAGACGAAGCCATCAAAACCTCAACCGAACAAATCTACCAGTCTCCTATTAGCCCAACAATTTGAGAACGCTGATGAAGTACTTTTGCTGTTGTCCGCGAAAGCTTGGTGGTTCTACACATCCTTATAATACTACTCATGAGTGTGGATGCTTTACACTTAATTTATGGATGACTTTAGAATAACAGCAAATACAATAAACTCTAGTGGCGGTTAGATATGCGGATACCACCTCACACGATAACTGTGTCGTGTTTCCCAAAATAAAGTGTGTTTTTACGGACCTCGTGTAGATTTTGACGCATACGTGACGACGTCTATTTTCATTTGACATCCACAGTGAAGCTGCTTCTTGGAAGGTAGATGATAATTTCTCGGTAACTAGAGGGTTTGAGTCGTTGAGAACATGACTGGATTGTGGAGGATGGTTTGCTCTTGGGGGTCTTGGGGGTTATACGCTGTATGTATTACTACTGTTTAGTGGGTGTTGTTGAGGTGCACCGTATAATGATATTCCTATCGGCATTTGTGTCTTGCAGCTATTCGTGCGTCATAAACCCTAACTTGAATGACACCTTACTTTCGAGCAGAAAAATTAACTGTTTAAGGTCGTAAGTTTGACCGGTCTCACTAAAAACACGTATGTTTGGGAAATGAAACTTCCCCAAGCGCTTGACCCTGTTCCCCGCTTTACATTTTCAGAATATCAGAAGTCCTGGACTAGATAAATCCCTATACATCGGAACCATATGAGTGTTACACTGTTGTCTTACAAGCTTCCGTACTTATTGCCGCAGATATATAAAGGTACTGTTTTATATTTCTAGACTGTTCCCAGTAAGGTTGACAATCACCGGTGCCAAAAGGTAAGGTTTTCCACATTCACAAGCCCTAGTTGACTGTGATTTTCATCCTTCTCACGTGTAAACATTGCTTGATCTGCATATGAATGCAAATAAGTTTTGCCTATGAAGTTTTATAGATGTTTTTTTCCGTCTGTGGAATGATTTTAGGCGTTTTGCCTGTCTGTCAGCTAGATTTCTATCTACTATTGCCATCAGCAATCACTCGTCGACAACATTGATCTAGAGAGTCCTAGAATCTAGAATGATTGATCTAGAGAATAATAGAGATGAAAAAATCTAAAAAGGCAGTGAATAAAAAGTTAACATTGTGATTTTCAACTATAGCCTCATCTTGGCTGGGTTCAATGCCGATTTGGGCTCGCCAGATCAATCTCGTTGACGGGTACTTACAAATGGCACTGATCGATAGAAAACTAGCTGAGAGACAGGCGAAACGGAGGACCTGCATGGTATGGTGGTGAACGCGTTAGCCCCCGGAAAGGGTAATAACGTGTTCGTTCCCCACCGCAGACACCTGCGGTCCGGAGTTTTGCAAGTATCTCAGCATCATTGTGGTTTCCACTTGTACTTTGTGATACTCATTAAAAAGTTCCAGACAAATTCGTGTTGCAACCGGCGTTGATGTGAACATGAGAATCGGTGTACATACCGGATCCGTACTGTGTGGTATACTTGGTCTCCGAAAATGGCAATTTGATATTTGGAGTGATGATGTGACATTAGCAAATCATATGGAATCAGCCGGAGTGCCAGGGTATAAAACATTAGAAATATCGATGTCGAATTCACTTCATAACCAATAGTATTGAGAGCTTTAATGTTAACAATGAAATTTTTATCTTATCTGTGACATTTATAAGTTTATTTGTAAAGATAAATTGGACGACATTATTGTTTCACTGAACGGTGCCATTTACTTCTCAATGGATGGCTCAGTCACGCTC